AAAGTAATCTGGCAATTACTTTGTTTTTGGTTCTGGTTCTACTACGGTTTGAGATTGGCTTTGTACTCTTATTAGTATGTAACTGGTTTGGTTTTGGGCTTCCATTCCAGTGAACACCGCTCTAATAAAACAACGCAATAAATGTATGTACCTGCACATTGTCGGATGCCATCTCCCTGGTATCCAAGAACACAGGAGCACGTGTAGGACCCTTCAGTATTGGAACATTTGGCAAGAAAATGGCAGGAATGCTGATCATTTGCGCACTCATTAATATCTAAAAAAAGACGAAATAGCTATAAAAGAAAATGTTACTATTTCGTAACTTTTAATTTGTGATACACAACCAACGAATTTAAAGTTGCTACGACTACGTGCCATAGCATGGATCTTTGACAACTTTTAAATTCTCGCTTTTAAATGCCGCTCTCAGGGGATAGAACCAATGCACGTGACGCAGGGTCAAATATACAGTACCGTCACTTACACACTTTCTGACAGAATCTTTTTATAAAGTAAAAATTGCTTTACTTCGGTGGGATTCGAGACCACCACGACTGAGCTATGAGGCCAGACAGGAGAAGCTCGTTACAAGTGTGAACCATATTGTCTACGTGAACACTGCGAGACAAATTAGGATGGCACTAAATCTGCTTACAATATGAGAGGTCTTAGACAAAGTTTGGTCCATGCTAATTCATTTGCGAATTACACAGTGATGGACTTCTGGTAATTGAAATAAAAAGCGGCATGTGGAACACTCTGGGTAAATGTGGGATTTAGCTTTTTATAGAATACCTTCACAGAGTAATCCATCTCCAGTATAGCCGCTCTCGCAATGGCATGTGAATGAACTGATGTTGTTAGAACAGACGGCATGTTGATGACAATTGTTTTGTCCACTTGCGCACTCGTCGAGATCTACAGAAGTGGACCAAACGCCTTGCGTTATGCCACTGATCGACAGAGAAACGTTTGAATAATTATCTGCGAGTTCTTTTTCATCAATATCTAAAAACGACGATAGCAACTGTTAAAGAAAAGATTTACTTTTTCGTAATTTTTACGAGACAAAGAGCGAAGCTGAACTCCCCATGACTACGAAAGCATGGATCTTGGACAGTTTTTAAATTTTCAAATGCCGCTCTCAGGGCCGGGATAGAACCAAAGCATGCGAAACGGGGTCAAATATTTAGTGCCCTAACCTTCACACTTTCTCATAGAATCGTTTTAAAGTTGTTCGTCGACAAAATCGTGTTATATTTCACCAATCCTAAAACCATCTGTGGTACTTATACCTAAGTTTCTCTTTCGAAATGGAAACCAAACATCCTCAAACATACCTACGCAGTTTTTACCATCTCCAGTGAAGCCTGGTATGCAGTCACAAGTATACGATCCTACGGTGTTTAAGCAGACTTCCAAATCTTGATCACAATCATGGTCTTGTGTTTGACATTCGTCGACGTCTGCAATCAACCGATAAGGTCAAGATTAACCAGAAGATGATGATGATTCTCAAGCATACACACTAATTTGGGGTCTATTAATATTGATAACCTACAGTTTCTGTTTTTATCATAGACATGGATTGGAACCTTTGAAAAATTGAAACGGGAGACACCAATGGGACACTTCATTTGCACACCGCCTTTAAAAGAACACTAATCATGGTTCCAGTCACAAGCAAAAATAACTGATAACTTTTTACCTCCCATAAGCGTACACTCCCCTAAGCAGTCACTTTAGCTAGTTTCCAACGGTGTTCGCTTGCGTGGCTTTGACCGTATTAAAGTGAAATATGTTCCTTTAATTATACCACATCCAATTTTGATTTAATGAGTATTGACTTATCTACTTCAATATCAGTCAAAGGGTAGGAACCTATGTACATTGCCAACATTTATGTAAACGTTACGATTGACGAAAGTTTAAACAGGTTGATCTTGAGATTGCTTGGCTATTCAGAATTCTTCACAGTTGCCAAGGCTTGATTGTCTCAACAAGGGTGTAACTATGTCTTTATGTCTAGTGAATGAGAGTGATCTAACGTTATGGGAAGTAATGTGATGAACATACCTGTACAATCCGTGCCATCTCCTACATATCTAAGAAGACAATGGCACGTATACGACCCTTCGGTGTTGAAGCAGTCGGCGAGTGAAGGATGGCAATGATCCTGGTTATCGGCACACTCATCAACATCTACAACAGTAACAACAATAAAAAGAAGTTTAGAAACTTGGAGATTTAGTCGCCTTGACAACGTGCCATGAATGCACCGGACACAATATTATATCAAATTTTCTTTCTAGCATTTGTTTTCAGACTAGAACAAGCAGGTTATCGTGGGAATTCACTGAATACTAACGAATTCACTGAGACGTCCTTGGTCTGATTTTGATTCTAGCATCAATGCATTGTTTTTACATTGCACTATCTAAATTGAAATTTCACGAGTCAGCAACTTTGGTGTAAAGAACTNTTGTAAAGTAGTTCTTCGCTTTGTGTTAAATCTGATTGATTAACCTGTAAAGTAAAGAACGGGCAGTCGATAAATCTAAAGTGAACCCGATGCAAAGGCGTCAGTGTTTTTACTTTTAGACATTCTGTACGCTTGTCTTTAGATTTTTGCCACTCGTATTATATCAAAGTAGAACGCATTTTCTGGGGGTAAAGATTCACCATGCAACATTTCTGTCAGACTGGCTTTAAAATTCACAGGTAACCACGTATGCTCCTGCTTCATGGGAAAAACCGTCACAGGGAGTAAAGTGTTGTGCCAATAACCTCTTAGGCCGAAGGTCTCCGCTTTCTATGCTAGAAATTCTGGAAGCCGGAAAAAAGTCGGCGTTTTTCTTTGTTTGTTACGACGATACAGTCTTCTTTTTCCCTAGGAAATACAGGGCTTTGGCCTGAAATATTAATTGCAGTATTTACTGATAACTTGGCCTACAGGTTATAGCTGCATCAGTGACAATAGGTTTCTGTGTTTTTGCAAGTGTAGTTTATAAGTCATCCCAACATTTGTTTTTAACCCAAACCACGCATACCTTGATCGACATCTCTATTTCTCTTGCTACTCCCGCGACATTGACAATGTCAACTTTAAGACGAACAACATTTTCTCCGCACAAGGGAGAAATATGAACTACGGTGAAGGACTGTACTCCATACGACAACATATCGTATTCCCCATGGTCTGATGCATGGTAGAATTCATATGTAAGAGGAACTCTGCTATCATCCCATCCATGACAGGATACGTTGAGCCAAATGCCAACAGCAGTATTCATATTAAGTTGCGTGACATGACATGTTCCACCTGATGGGGCACCTAATGTGTCAAACTGGTAGGCTGCCCATCCGTATGAACCATTTGGTAACAGGGCATCTACTGTGATTCGGTATGACCAACCAGGTAAGAGCATTTGCTGCTTGACAACCAGGTTTTGGGAATCCTCTTGCGTAGCCAAGAAATTTGAAAAATTTGCATGGGGAATCCATTTGGAATATAGAAGACTAGTATTTTTTCTTAACATTTTCCATCGATATTTAAGGGATTTGGGACAACTAGCAGTGATGCAGTCAGTTCTGACGGAGATACCAGATGATGTTCTGGCTGGTGATAAACAGTTTAGGACGCACCTGAAAGAAATATATCAAAGACAATTGAAGACAAAATTCCTTCCTCGCATTGTGCACTACACCGGTATTACTCGATGAAATCTCCCACACCACACTGGGACAGGGTCAAAATTTGTTTCGTTAGAGGCCATGTTGTTGCCAACCTTCCACCCATAAATTCTTAATACCTTTGCGTTAGGAGATCAGCTTACAATGTATGTCATGAATGTGCTTTGAAGTTTTTATTCAGTTTGATGGAGGTTCCTTTTAGTGGAGCCACGTAACCACTTTGTCATTTGGATTGCCTTTCCGAACAGTTTGCATGCACAGGGGATGCACAAGCAAACACACGTCCATTTTGTGGCTTTGTGAAAATACTAGCAAAATAGGCTCACTCCAAGGGTTCCCATCTTAAACTTACATTATGCGAATGTCTACGAGCTCTCCATCATGGATGTGGACAATCTGCATCGCACTCTCTTTTCGGTGGTCTTTGCCAACTGTCAGCAATAAATGGTATGTCTCGTTGCTGATCAGTTTCTCTGGGTCCAAAATCGCTTTTCTATTTTCTAATAATGGTAGAAATATATCGCCTGGCGATTGGAAAAGAGTTCCATCAGCGACTGATTCAAGAAGAGTATTTATTACGTTTCCCGAGCTTTTGAAAAGCATGCCGGTAGCTGCTTTGTTAAAACCAGAGACGTTCTTGCTCGCAGCTCTGAAACAAGACCAGTTAAAGGTCATTCCAAAGGAAGTTCCGTCTTCATTCTCAGGGTCGTAAGAAAAGCTAGCATCCAGCAAGATTGGCTTGCTGATAGATCGATAAACTTCAGATCCTCCCGCAATGGAAGCTACGAGAGCTGATGTTTCTACCAGTAGGAAAGCGAAATCTCGAGCAGCCAGTTCAATTCCGGGCACTTGCAATTCAAATACTACAAGTTTTAGTCCTGTTGACAGTAACTCTGGCACTATATTGAGCTCACGAGAGTGGTGCACTAAGAGCTCTGGAGTATCCGAAATGTTGAAAGGTGACAGTGTAAGCTTTTCAACTCTCCAATAAAACGAAGCTTGTCCTGAATGAATGTTTCCCAAGTTAAAAGACGCCACGAGCTTCCTTCTTTGATCGCGTCTCAACTTGATTGGACTGTCTGGTTGTGTGTCTGTATAACGGATTGACACTTCATTTAAATGAGCGAGAGTATTACCTGAAAAGCAACGTGAAACACATCAAAGTTAAAATATTAAGTCGAATTTCGGACAAAACCAACGCTACTACCACCATCACCACCACCACCACCACCACCACCAACATCACCATCACCTTTATCACCGCTACTACCAGCAGCAGCAGCAGCAGCAGCAGGAAGAACAAAAACAACAACGTACAACGACAACAACATTTGTTTCTCTTTCTTGAACGTGCATCAATGCGGTGGTACTCGAATTGAAATGGATATCCATTTTTCGTTATAACTTAATAGGTCTGTCATAATCTTGGTCACAAAGTTCTAACCTGTTGTGGTAGAAGCTGGTCTGCGTGGAAATATAAACCATCTAGACTGGATTAACCAAGTGCAGTAAATTCCTAACAATGGTTTAGCTCGTTGCTTCACTCTACTAAATTGATTTACGTCCTTCCATTTCAACTGGTATCATGGCAAATTCAAGGTTTACCCACCGGGATTTTGGCACGCATCAACCTTCGGACGTTCAGGATAGAAGTATTTGCACCAGCAGTCACAGGAATTGGGTGACGTTTGGATGCAGCGTGAATATTTAGGACAAGCTGATGATGTAGAAGAGTATTATGCTAAATTAGTTGGCACTTAACATTGCCCGGAAGATCAGTAATGAGAATAGGGAGAATCTTCAATGGGAGATAGTTGTCGCAATGTACTTCAAGCTGGAAAGAAAAACGTAAACTCCAGAGTAATCTGGAGTCCTGGAAATCAACCCAATTATTTCTTTCCCGATCCCAGCGTCAGAAAACTGCGGACCTTGCGAGGTAAAAAAATTTATTTGAACCGCGGTGGGATTCGAAATCATGACGACTGAACTACGAGGCTGGACGGGAGCTGCTCGTTGCAAGATGTATCATATTGTCTATGTGAATGCTGCGAAACAAATTGAGATGACACTAATTCTGCCAATAATATGGACGTTTTAGACAAAATGCGGTCGATGCTAATTCATTTGTGAATTTCACAGTGCTGGACTACTGCTAATTAAAACAAGAAGCTGAATGTGGAATACTCTAGGCTCATGTAGGATTTAGCGTCTTATAAAATACCTTCACAGAACAATCCATCTCCAGTATAGCCGCTCTGGCAGTGACATGTGAATGACCCGATGTTGTTAGAGCAGTCAGCATGTTGATGGCAATTGTGTTGTCCACTTGCGCACTCGTCGAGATCTACAGAAGTGGACCAAATGTCTTTCGTTATGTCTACCCTACCATTGATCGACAGAGAAACGTTTGAATAATTATCTGCGAGCTCTCTGCTCTAACTTCTTTCGGAGAGCTAAACTTAAGCTGTGAATCAGTTATTATTTGATGTATTTTACCCAGTTCTATTAAACATTTTTTTCGCACATGATTGCCTAGGGAATTGCAGGTGACGTTAGCACTACTTTTTTAAATTTTGTTTAGAGTGGTTTCCAATTGAGTGTCGAAAGTAATCTGGCAATTACTTTGTTTTTGGTTCTGGTTCTACTACGGTTTGAGATTGGCTTTGTACTCTTATTAGTATGTAACTGGTTTGGTTTTGGGCTTCCATTCCAGTGAACACCGCTCTAATAAAACAACGCAATAAATGTATGTACCTGCACATTGTCGGATGCCATCTCCCTGGTATCCAAGAACACAGGAGCACGTGTAGGACCCTTCAGTATTGGAACATTTGGCAAGAAAATGGCAGGAATGCTGATCATTTGCGCACTCATTAATATCTAAAAAAAGACGAAATAGCTATAAAAGAAAATGTTACTATTTCGTAACTTTTAATTTGTGATACACAACCAACGAATTTAAAGTTGCTACGACTACGTGCCATAGCATGGATCTTTGACAACTTTTAAATTCTCGCTTTTAAATGCCGCTCTCAGGGGATAGAACCAATGCACGTGACGCAGGGTCAAATATACAGTACCGTCACTTACACACTTTCTGACAGAATCTTTTTATAAAGTAAAAATTGCTTTACTTCGGTGGGATTCGAGACCACCACGACTGAGCTATGAGGCCAGACAGGAGAAGCTCGTTACAAGTGTGAACCATATTGTCTACGTGAACACTGCGAGACAAATTAGGATGGCACTAAATCTGCTTACAATATGAGAGGTCTTAGACAAAGTTTGGTCCATGCTAATTCATTTGCGAATTACACAGTGATGGACTTCTGGTAATTGAAATAAAAAGCGGCATGTGGAACACTCTGGGTAAATGTGGGATTTAGCTTGTTATAGAATACCTTCACAGAGAAATCCATCTCCAGTATAGCCGCTCTCGCAATGGCATGTGAATGAACTGATGTTGTTAGAACAGACGGCATGTTGATGGCAATTGTTTTGTCCACTTGCGCACTCGTCGAGATCTACAGAAGTGGACCAAACGCCTTGCGTTATGCCACTGATCGACAGAGAAACGTTTGAATAATTATCTGCGAGTTCTTTTTCATCAATATCTAAAAACGACGATAGCAACTGTTAAAGAAAAGATTTACTTTTTCGTAATTTTTACGAGACAAAGAGCGAAGCTGAACTCCCCATGACTACGAAAGCATGGATCTTGGACAGTTTTTAAATTTTCAAATGCCGCTCTCAGGGCCGGGATAGAACCAAAGCATGCGAAACGGGGTCAAATATTTAGTGCCCTAACCTTCACACTTTCTCATAGAATCGTTTTAAAGTTGTTCGTCGACAAAATCGTGTTATATTTCACCAATCCTAAAACCATCTGTGGTACTTATACCTAAGTTTCTCTTTCGAAATGGAAACCAAACATCCTCAAACATACCTACGCAGTTTTTACCATCTCCAGTGAAGCCTGGTATGCAGTTACAAGTATACGATCCTACGGTGTTTAAGCAGACTTCCAAATCTTGATCACAATCATGGTCTTGTGTTTGACATTCGTCGACGTCTGCAATCAACCGATAAGGTCAAGATTAACCAGAAGATGATGATGATTCTCAAGCATACACACTAATTTGGGGTCTATTAATATTGATAACCTACAGTTTCTGTTTTTATCATAGACATGGATTGGAACCTTTGAAAAATTGAAACGGGAGACACCAATGGGACACTTCATTTGCACACCGCCTTTAAAAGAACACTAATCATGGTTCCAGTCACAAGCAAAAATAACTGATAACTTTTTACCTCCCATAAGCGTACACTCTCCTAAGCAGTCACTTTAGCTAGTTTCCAACGGTGTTCGCTTGCGTGGCTTTGACCGTATTAAAGTGAAATATGTTCCTTTAATTATACCACATCCAATTTTGATTTAATGAGTATTGACTTATCTACTTCAATATCAGTCAAAGGGTAGGAACCTATGTACATTGCCAACATTTATGTAAACGTTACGATTGACGAAAGTTTAAACAGGTTGATCTTGAGATTGCTTGGCTATTCAGAATTCTTCACAGTTGCCAAGGCTTGATTGTCTCAACAAGGGTGTAACTATGTCTTTATGTCTAGTGAATGAGAGTGATCTAACGTTATGGGAAGTAATGTGATGAACATACCTGTACAATCCGTGCCATCTCCTACATATCTAAGAAGACAATGGCACGTATACGACCCTTCGGTGTTGAAGCAGTCGGCGAGTGAAGGATGGCAATGATCCTGGTTATCGGCACACTCATCAACATCTACAACAGTAACAACAATAAAAAGAAGTTTAGAAACTTGGAGATTTAGTCGCCTTGACAACGTGCCATGGATGCACCGGACACAATATTATATCAAATTTTCTTTCTAGCATTTGTTTTCAGACTAGAACAAGCAGGTTATCGTGGGAATTCACTGAATACTAACGAATTCACTGAGACGTCCTTGGTCTGATTTTGATTCTAGCATCAATGCATTGTTTTTACATTGCACTATCTAAATTGAAATTTCACGAGTCAGCAACTTTGGTGTAAAGAACTGGAAAGCGCTCGTAAAGATTCCCCAGCTGAGTTTCTGTACGATTTTTACGACAACTATATTGCTAACTTCTATTCTTAACTTAACGGACGTGGTGTGATATGGTTTCTTGAAGTAGGCAACCTTGAAATATTAATGACTTGGAGGCAAAATTAAACATGATTCGTGTAATTGTAACTCACCGATACACGATCTGCCATCGCCGGTGTATCCTTCGTTGCATGCACAAGTGAAAGAGTCCTCTGTATTGGTGCAAGTCGCTGATGGATGACAGTCATGAGTGTTCGCCATGCATTCATCGATATCTGTAAACATAGGGTAGCTCACAGGAAGATTTAATTAAAATTAGGCGACGCTCATACTTTTGAGGAAAATCCAATTATGGAGGTCTAGCCCGGAACAGTCTGACATGCTATTTGACGTTTACTTTCATGATTTCTATTTACGCCATTACCTTCAGTTTGTAGTCTACTTACTTGTCTTGATTAACTGTACTGTACACTGAGCTCAGTCAATTTAAGATAATATAATTATTTTTCATGTTTATTCAGACGAATTATCCGTTTATTGTTTGATACCTCTAAACGGGGCAAACTATCAGACACAATAATATCTCATTCCGCCCCTGAGATATGCAAAATAGCGTGCTCTGCTCGTCTTTATACTGACACGTATTACCATTTAGAGGCATGATTGATGCAATGATCGTCTTAAACACAGACGGATTATCTTTTTCAGCCAAGTTCGTCTCTTAGTTCAGATAGTTTGTCTTGACGTATGATCCATCTTGTGCCCGTTTTTATGTCGAGACGCACTTCTAGATGTAATAACAAACGTGCCCAAGTTGGTCCACTTTAGCATTAAAGCAGCGAATGTTTTGTGAAAGCACCCTTTCATAATGCAAAATAAATATCTTTTAGTATTCGCTAGTGAGTTTACGATTAGAAATGATAAAAGCAATTTCCAGAAATATTTAGTATAGAAGGAACTCACCTGCTGTTCCATACACCTCCACTCTAAGACAGTTCCATCGATGTTGCTTAGTTGGGTAAAACCGAATGTATCTTGCATAAACCGCTACTGGTAGCTTGTGTGTGTCAACTGTATCACTGTTACCATCCCTATGAAATTCCTGTCAGAAAGATACCCGAGAGTAATCCTTTATGTAATCAATCAATCAATCAATCAATCAATCAATCAATCAATCAATCAATCAATCAATCAGTCAATCAATCAATTAATCAATCAACTTTATTTAAGTGTCTAAAAACTTCCAGTCAGCCCGGAGGCCGACTAATCAAGGACACTTCCAATAAGATTACTATCAAATTAAGTTAAGTTAAGTTAAAAGTTACCTATCACTTCTTATGGTATATATACAGATCTAAAATTCCATTAATATTTTAAAATACTTTATATACGCTATAAAAGCATGCACGGTGCCAAACAAATGTGATTCTAGGCTGTCATTTTCTGAAATGTTGCATAGATTTCGGCCATTTTGGTTTCAAATAGGGCATGAGCCTGGAATTGGAATTGATGTATAGTTAAAACTGGGGAATATGAGGGCTCTTGTCAAATGCTGACGTAATGAAAATTACTTTCGCTTAACTTAACTGCAAATTACAACTAGGACGCGTACACTGACCACATAGGCATTACGTTTACAATGTCGTTAAATCTGGCCTGCTAATAGCTTATCCACGTAACTGCCCAATGGGTTCGACAGACAGAATGTATTAAGGACGATTCTTTCTGCTTTTTGATCCACTCGCTCTTTTCGAATAATTTCCTCTCTGATTTTGACAGCGCACATGCTCTTCCAAATATGGAAGGGCCATATACATGTATGGTAGATATCACACAACACTGGCTCGTTACCAACGTTTTAATTAGGTCTGAAATAGGGCAATGGNAATTTCGGACAAAACCAACGCTACTACCACCATCACCACCACCACCACCACCACCACCAACATCACCATCACCTTTATCACCGCTACTACCAGCAGCAGCAGCAGCAGCAGCAGGAAGAACAAAAACAACAACGTACAACGACAACAACATTTGTTTCTCTTTCTTGAACGTGCATCAATGCGGTGGTACTCGAATTGAAATGGATATCCATTTTTCGTTATAACTTAATAGGTCTGTCATAATCTTGGTCACAAAGTTCTAACCTGTTGTGGTAGAAGCTGGTCTGCGTGGAAATATAAACCATCTAGACTGGATTAACCAAGTGCAGTAAATTCCTAACAATGGTTTAGCTCGTTGCTTCACTCTACTAAATTGATTTACGTCCTTCCATTTCAACTGGTATCATGGCAAATTCAAGGTTTACCCACCGGGATTTTGGCACGCATCAACCTTCGGACGTTCAGGATAGAAGTATTTGCACCAGCAGTCACAGGAATTGGGTGACGTTTGGATGCAGCGTGAATATTTAGGACAAGCTGATGATGTAGAAGAGTATTATGCTAAATTAGTTGGCACTTAACATTGCCCGGAAGATCAGTAATGAGAATAGGGAGAATCTTCAATGGGAGATAGTTGTCGCAATGTACTTCAAGCTGGAAAGAAAAACGTAAACTCCAGAGTAATCTGGAGTCCTGGAAATCAACCCAATTATTTCTTTCCCGATCCCAGCGTCAGAAAACTGCGGACCTTGCGAGGTAAAAAAATTTATTTGAACCGCGGTGGGATTCGAAATCATGACGACTGAACTACGAGGCTGGACGGGAGCTGCTCGTTGCAAGATGTATCATATTGTCTATGTGAATGCTGCGAAACAAATTGAGATGACACTAATTCTGCCAATAATATGGACGTTTTAGACAAAATGCGGTCGATGCTAATTCATTTGTGAATTTCACAGTGCTGGACTACTGCTAATTAAAACAAGAAGCTGAATGTGGAATACTCTAGGCTCATGTAGGATTTAGCGTCTTATAAAATACCTTCACAGAACAATCCATCTCCAGTATAGCCGCTCTGGCAGTGACATGTGAATGACCCGATGTTGTTAGAGCAGTCAGCATGTTGATGGCAATTGTGTTGTCCACTTGCGCACTCGTCGAGATCTACAGAAGTGGACCAAATGTCTTTCGTTATGTCTACCCTACCATTGATCGACAGAGAAACGTTTGAATAATTATCTGCGAGCTCTCTGCTCTAACTTCTTTCGGAGAGCTAAACTTAAGCTGTGAATCAGTTATTATTTGATGTATTTTACCCAGTTCTATTAAACATTTTTTTCGCACATGATTGCCTAGGGAATTGCAGGTGACGTTAGCACTACTTTTTTAAATTTTGTTTAGAGTGGTTTCCAATTGAGTGTCGAAAGTAATCTGGCAATTACTTTGTTTTTGGTTCTGGTTCTACTACGGTTTGAGATTGGCTTTGTACTCTTATTAGTATGTAACTGGTTTGGTTTTGGGCTTCCATTCCAGTGAACACCGCTCTAATAAAACAACGCAATAAATGTATGTACCTGCACATTGTCGGATGCCATCTCCCTGGTATCCAAGAACACAGGAGCACGTGTAGGACCCTTCAGTATTGGAACATTTGGCAAGAAAATGGCAGGAATGCTGATCATTTGCGCACTCATTAATATCTAAAAAAAGACGAAATAGCTATAAAAGAAAATGTTACTATTTCGTAACTTTTAATTTGTGATACACAACCAACGAATTTAAAGTTGCTACGACTACGTGCCATAGCATGGATCTTTGACAACTTTTAAATTCTCGCTTTTAAATGCCGCTCTCAGGGGATAGAACCAATGCACGTGACGCAGGGTCAAATATACAGTACCGTCACTTACACACTTTCTGACAGAATCTTTTTATAAAGTAAAAATTGCTTTACTTCGGTGGGATTCGAGACCACCACGACTGAGCTATGAGGCCAGACAGGAGAAGCTCGTTACAAGTGTGAACCATATTGTCTACGTGAACACTGCGAGACAAATTAGGATGGCACTAAATCTGCTTACAATATGAGAGGTCTTAGACAAAGTTTGGTCCATGCTAATTCATTTGCGAATTACACAGTGATGGACTTCTGGTAATTGAAATAAAAAGCGGCATGTGGAACACTCTGGGTAAATGTGGGATTTAGCTTGTTATAGAATACCTTCACAGAGAAATCCATCTCCAGTATAGCCGCTCTCGCAATGGCATGTGAATGAACTGATGTTGTTAGAACAGACGGCATGTTGATGGCAATTGTTTTGTCCACTTGCGCACTCGTCGAGATCTACAGAAGTGGACCAAACGCCTTGCGTTATGCCACTGATCGACAGAGAAACGTTTGAATAATTATCTGCGAGTTCTTTTTCATCAATATCTAAAAACGACGATAGCAACTGTTAAAGAAAAGATTTACTTTTTCGTAATTTTTACGAGACAAAGAGCGAAGCTGAACTCCCCATGACTACGAAAGCATGGATCTTGGACAGTTTTTAAATTTTCAAATGCCGCTCTCAGGGCCGGGATAGAACCAAAGCATGCGAAACGGGGTCAAATATTTAGTGCCCTAACCTTCACACTTTCTCATAGAATCGTTTTAAAGTTGTTCGTCGACAAAATCGTGTTATATTTCACCAATCCTAAAACCATCTGTGGTACTTATACCTAAGTTTCTCTTTCGAAATGGAAACCAAACATCCTCAAACATACCTACGCAGTTTTTACCATCTCCAGTGAAGCCTGGTATGCAGTTACAAGTATACGATCCTACGGTGTTTAAGCAGACTTCCAAATCTTGATCACAATCATGGTCTTGTGTTTGACATTCGTCGACGTCTGCAATCAACCGATAAGGTCAAGATTAACCAGAAGATGATGATGATTCTCAAGCATACACACTAATTTGGGGTCTATTAATATTGATAACCTACAGTTTCTGTTTTTATCATAGACATGGATTGGAACCTTTGAAAAATTGAAACGGGAGACACCAATGGGACACTTCATTTGCACACCGCCTTTAAAAGAACACTAATCATGGTTCCAGTCACAAGCAAAAATAACTGATAACTTTTTACCTCCCATAAGCGTACACTCTCCTAAGCAGTCACTTTAGCTAGTTTCCAACGGTGTTCGCTTGCGTGGCTTTGACCGTATTAAAGTGAAATATGTTCCTTTAATTATACCACATCCAATTTTGATTTAATGAGTATTGACTTATCTACTTCAATATCAGTCAAAGGGTAGGAACCTATGTACATTGCCAACATTTATGTAAACGTTACGATTGACGAAAGTTTAAACAGGTTGATCTTGAGATTGCTTGGCTATTCAGAATTCTTCACAGTTGCCAAGGCTTGATTGTCTCAACAAGGGTGTAACTATGTCTTTATGTCTAGTGAATGAGAGTGATCTAACGTTATGGGAAGTAATGTGATGAACATACCTGTACAATCCGTGCCATCTCCTACATATCTAAGAAGACAATGGCATGTATACGACCCTTCGGTGTTGAAGCAGTCGGCGAGTGAAGGATGGCAATGATCCTGGTTATCGGCACACTCATCAACATCTACAACAGTAACAACAATAAAAAGAAGTTTAGAAACTTGGAGATTTAGTCGCCTTGACAACGTGCCATGGATGCACCGGACACAATATTATATCAAATTTTCTTTCTAGCATTTGTTTTCAGACTAGAACAAGCAGGTTATCGTGGGAATTCACTGAATACTAACGAATTCACTGAGACGTCCTTGGTCTGATTTTGATTCTAGCATCAATGCATTGTTTTTACATTGCACTATCTAAATTGAAATTTCACGAGTCAGCAACTTTGGTGTAAAGAACTGGAAAGCGCTCGTAAAGATTCCCCAGCTGAGTTTCTGTACGATTTTTACGACAACTATATTGCTAACTTCTATTCTTAACTTAACGGACGTGGTGTGATATGGTTTCTTGAAGTAGGCAACCTTGAAATATTAATGACTTGGAGGCAAAATTAAACATGATTCGTGTAATTGTAACTCACCGATACACGATCTGCCATCGCCGGTGTATCCTTCGTTGCATGCACAAGTGAAAGAGTCCTCTGTATTGGTGCAAGTCGCTGATGGATGACAGTCATGAGTGTTCGCCATGCATTCATCGATATCTGTAAACATAGGGTAGCTCACAGGAAGATTTAATTAAAATTAGGCGACGCTCATACTTTTGAGGAAAATCCAATTATGGAGGTCTAGCCCGG